GCGTCGTGTGAACCACTCAGACGTCATGTGCTCAATATAGTGCGGCCAAATATCTTCCGGGATGTATATCGGGTTGAAATCCCTCCAAACCGCAACATCGTTCCAGCCTTGTAAACCCCTATCCCTCGTGGCTTTTTTTGCCTTTCTTTGTGCTTCATACCAAAAATCACGCTACCTAGTCATGCAACCAAAAATTACATTTCAAAACATAAATTTTTGTGTAAAAAAAATCTTGTATTGTTTTCGATCTTACCTAGTTGCCGCGTGATTTTCCCACACCCTCCTCACAACAGTGTTATGCTCACTATCCTAGCAAAATTTGTACTGTGTATAAATGAACAAGTTTAGATAAAAATAATAATTTATTTACAATTAAATTAATAAGCTAAAATTTATAAATTAATACCAACCTCAAACCTGTTAAACCATGCATTGATTTGAGGCATCCATTTAAGATGCTTTGATATCTGACTCCACTGAAACAATGGAATCTCCATTGACAATTTAAACGCCAATGATATTACTCAGGCAGCTTCAATGTTTGTGAACCTGAAAATAAATGAAATAAATTCAATAGTGATTATTTCATAAATTATGTCGTAATATAAAAAAAGAAAAAACTAAAACCTTAACAAACTTACATTGAAAGGTCATCCTTCTATTGTGCCTTGTACTGGCGGGTAAATTGATTCTGCTGCGAAGGCACGCCGCCTCTGCGCTGTGAAGTAGATCTGGAAGAGGCAACATCGGTTGACGGCGCAGGTGATGTAGGTGCCTCTTCTTCAGAGGCACCTAAGGAGATATCATCATCGCTGCTAGATGAACTAGCTATGACCTTATGTGAGCGACCAACTTTGGTTTTCGATCTACGCATCTACACAATTTTATACAAATAATTATATAATTAAATTCAAATGTAAAAAAAAAAAATTGACAGCACCTCCCCTATACTGGATACTACCCAAATCCACAAACCTACACATATTAACAATAGCCACAACCAATTTACCCAATCTATACTAATTATTCCAACATATTCAATTCCTAATCCTAAGGTAAATTCAACATTAAAAATTACAATTCCACAAATTATTCAATAATTATGCCAATACAACAAAACAATAAATTAAAAAAAAACTCTAGAATAACAATCAAAATAAATGGAAAAAATTAAACCCAAATCATGCAATAATAAAGTAAAATTAATAATTATTCCAACATATTTAATTACTAATCCTAAGATAAATTCAACAATAACAATAAATATTCAACAAATTAACTAATAATAATTATGCCAAAACAACAATAAAAAATATTCAATAAATTCAAAAAAAAAACTATAGACTTTAGCAATGAATTATGCAAACAAAAACTATGGATTTTATCTACATTACAAAAAATACACCAAAACAAAAAACATAGCAAAAAAATAGCAAAAAAAAAAACCATTAAAGTAAAATGAAAAAGAAGAAACACTAACCTTTTCAATTGATGGAGATTCACCACAAAAAAAGCTTGATATCGCCGGTGAAAAAGGGAGATCAGAACGGAGAGGAAAAGAACGGTGAAGAACTTTGGAGGAGAGAAAATGAATTGAAGAGGCGGTCGGGGGCACTTATATGGCAGTTTTACCGATGGATTACCGACGGACTCACCGATGGCCATATGTTAGTTTCACCGACGGCCATATATGGATTTTATCTACACTACAAAAAATACACCAAAACAAAAAACATAACAAAAAAATAGCAAAAAAAACCATTAAAGTAAAATGAAAAAGAAGAAACACTAACCTTTTCAATTGATGGAGATTCACCACAAAAAAAGCTTGATATCGCTGGTGAAAAAGGGAGATCAGAATGGAGAGGAAAAGAACGGTGAAGAACTTTGGAGGAGAGAAAATGAACTGAAAACGCGGTCGGGGGCACATATATGGCCTTAGGGCCGTCGATGATGTGGTGGCATTTCAAGTAATTATTTTTGAACTCTCTGTGAAATGCCGACGGCCTTGGGGCCGTCGGTGTGGCCATCGGTGATGTGGTGGCATTTCAAGTAATTATTTCATGTTACAAAATATATCATCCATGATCAATAATTATTTCAAGTAATTATTTCGTAATTGTGACATTTCAACTAATTATTTCAAGTAATAAATATTTTGTGTTTCAAAATATATCATCCATAATCTAAATTACATGAAAAAAAGGGTTTTACATAGGGTTTCATTTTGGTAGTTAGTCAGAATTTTCTTCTTCATAGTCATCAATTGAATTGTCATCACTTCATCGCAATCATGAATATCATCTTCTTCATGGACAGTCACTTGTCCGCTAGAGCTTAAAACAAAATTCAACTCCTCTGCGTCAACATCAATAAGACTATCATCACAAAAATTTGAATTTTCTTCCAATTCAATTGAAGGAGCAACTCGATATGGTTCAACCACCTCACTAACTTGAAAGACTTCATCTCGCACACTTGTGTCTTCGTTCTCATCCTGAACAACCTCGATACGACCCCGGGGTTTCATTTTTAAAATGAACAACCAATCCACTCTTGATCGATCCTTTTTAAATGAAGGGGTGTGTGTGTAATAAACTTGTTAACATTGCTTTGCGAAAACAAAGACATCGTTTATGTTGCGTAGTCTAGCTTTTGAGTTGATTTCGACGAGAACAAAGACATCGTTTATGTTGTGGAGTCTAGCTTTTGAGTTGATTTCGACCAGACCATACTGTGGATCAACTCTGATTCCTCTGTCAGTCGTGTCATACTAATAGCATTTGAATAAAAACACTCTATTCTGCTTGTTATGATATTGCAGTTCGATGACCTCTTCTAATCTACTATAGTAGTCAACTTCTAACTCACTACTAGTGGATCCCTTAACACAAACACTGCTGTTGTATGTCTTTCTTCATTGCCCGTATTCTTCAGTATGGAAAACATATCCATTGACAAAATACTTGTTGTAGCACTTACATTTTCTTTCAGGCCCTAGGCTTAGTGAAGACAATGACTTAGGTGCACTCCTTCCCATTTGATAAACCTTGTATGTAATGTACATCAATAAACAGTAAATGAATGAGAATCTCGTAATGACATGCATACGTACAGTAATTTTGCAAGTTAGAATGAGTTTTTGATAGTGCTTACATGTGTTCTGAACCATGTGGCAAACTACTTATCTTATAATTGAAAGATCTGGGATTCGGTCAGCTGTGAGTTATTGGAGAGCAAATATTATCGATGTTGCCTGCAAGTGATAATGAGTGTATGATATTACAATATATAATTAACAGTATATTACTAACAAAGTTTAATTAGTATAAACTTACTGAATAAAAGGTCTCAACTCATCACAGTTAAATAGAACGTAGTTGTGTGCTTGTTTGAACTCTATTTCCGACAAATATCTTCCTCTTACGACATTTTTAGGTATGGGTCGTCCAGTATTGGAGAATATTGACAAGTTCCCACTGGAAGACACTTCACCGCCATCATCATGACGGGGAACGCGATTGATTCTCATTCTCAGATGAGGTTCAAATAGTATGAGATAAATGTTGAGATCTCCTCAACAATATAGGCCTCACATATCGAAGCCTCAACATGCGCCTTGTTCTTAACCTTTTTCTTCAGATTAAACAAGTACCTGCATTGAAATATTAATCAAGTATTTTCAATTAAGAAAAACATATAAAATACTTTTATATATGAATTACATTGCAATTGTAATATCTAACCGTTTGAATGGGTACATCCATCTATATTGGACCGATCCTCCAGCTTTTGCCTTGAACGGTAGATGTATAAGGAGATGCTCCATTGAGTCAAAAAATGATGGAGGGAATATCATCTCAAGTTTGCATAGTGTTTCGACGATATTCATTTGAAGCCTCTCAATGTGATCAACATTCAACTTGCTAGAGCATATATCTCTAAAGAAATGACTGGTCTCCGTGAGTGCATCCCATATTCCCTTTGGCAACAAAGCACGAAAAGCTAATGGGATGAGTGTTTGCATAAACACGTGGCAGTCATGACTCTTCATTCCATACAATCTGTAGTCGTCTACATTAACCAGCCGTGATATGTTCAATGCATGTCCATCCAGAAAACACAGACTTTTAAGCCATTTGTAAACTAGCAGTTATGCATTTTTCTCTAACAGGAAGCTTGCTCTTGGTTTTGCGACCCGTGACTCATCATAAACCAACTCTATATTTTTACGGTTACAGTATAAAGCTATATCCAATCTAGCATTGATGTTGTCCTTTGTCTTCCCCTTCACATCCATGATGGTGTTGAAATGTTCTCAAACATGTTCTTTTCGATGTGCATGACGTCAAGGTTATGGCAGAGCAGATTGGTCTTCCAATAAGGAAGCTCCCAAAATATACTTTGCTTTACCCAATTAAGGGTCAAACCAAAACCTGGAAACTTTTGCTTACCTAATTGAAGGCCAAACACAATGTCACCGTACTCTGAGACAACATCATGCAATTCTTCACCAGAAAGACACGGGGATGCAACATCTTTTTCAACTCTGCCAACAAAGAAATCTTTTATGTTCTTTTTGTACCTGTGATTAAGTGGCAGGAAGCGACGGTGACAGTAAAAAAAAGAAGCTTTGCCTCCATTTGCTAGCGTGAATCCCTTGTTGTTTTCCATGCAATATGGACATGCGAGTTTCCCATGCGTGCTCCAACCAGAAAGCATTCCATAAGTTGGAAAATCATTGATAGTCCACATCAAAGCCGCCCTCATAAGGAAATTTTTTTTCCTCGATATATCATAAGTTAGAGCTCTGAAGGACCACAACTGCGCGAACTCATCAACCAACGGTTGAAGACAAACATCTATATTCTGTCCCGGGCTGCTTGGACCGGGTATGACAGTAGATAAAAACATGAACTCCGACCTCATACACATTCCCGATGGCAAGTTATAAACTGTGAGTATGACCGACCAACAAGAATAAGGAGCAGCAAATGACCCAAATGGGTTGAATTTGTCTGTACACAACTCAAGACACACATTCCTTGATTCAACTGAAAAGTGAGGATGAACACTGTTAAAACGTTTCCACGCTTCGCCGTTAGAAGGATTAACCATCACTCCATCAACCACATGGTGTGCTTGGTGCCATGTCATGTGCTCAGCAGTCCTTGGTGACATGAATAACCTCTGCAGTCTAGGTGTGATCGGGAAGTATCTAAGTTTTTTATATGCCACTAGAGTCTTTCCCCTGCCAGTTCTAGGTTTGTAACGGGAATGCCCGCATGTCATGCATTCAGTCATCTCAACATTTTCAAGGTAGTATAACATGCAGAAGTTAGGGCACATGTCAATTTTCTAGTATCCTAAACCGAGGGGTTTCATCATGGACTTCGCAGCATAGAAGTTCTCTTTCAGCCTGTTCTCTTTAGGTAAACACTGTTTAA